GAGTCGGACACTTAACCAACTGAGCCACCCAGGTGCCTCAATACAGAGTATTTAAATTACTACTGGTAATAGCATATTTGTTATTTTTATTCTTCGCCATGCCCCACTAGGGAGTAACAGAATGTAAACCTTTTCATCAGTGGTATCTTAAGATTCTTAGATATTTGTTAAGAACTTAGGGTCACTTAAATGCACCTGCATGCATTTGTGCCACTCAGAATATGACAGATGTAACAAATTAAGATGAAAATTGCTTAAAAAGCCTTATAGTTAATGCAGCACCCCCATCCCTCTTCCTCACTTCTGTGTCTCTTCCCATAACCAGGGTCCTCTATCCATCTGGGGGCAGGGGGAGGTTTCAGGCTCCCCACCCAGCAGGAGCAGGCCCTGGAGTGCCAGCCTTGCATCCAGAAGGTCCTCCAGGGACTCTTTCACATACAGCGTTAGCCCATTTGCTAAATTGCAAACTAAAACCGCTCAAGGTAAGGACCTTTCCTCTTAAGACAAGGGTACTCAGGGGGCACCTGGGTGGCTCAGTCGGTTAAGCGGCTGCCTTCGGCTCGGGTCATGATCCCAGGGTCCTGGGATCGAGCCCCACGTCGGGCTCCCTGCTCAGTGGAGAGTCTGTTTCTCGCTCTCTCTCTGCCTGCCTGTCTGCCTACTTGTGCTCTCTATCTCTCTGTCAAATAAATAAATAAATAACCCATGCTTTAGTTAAAAAAAAAAAAAAAAAGACAAGGGTACTCAGCCAGCCAGTCAGCAACAATTATTTGCTGAGTCTGTGAAGTGCAAAATACTATGCTGGGTTATAAAGTGGGTTCAAAAGGTGTACAATGGCCCTTGACTCCAGCCAGGGAGTCAAGATAGGCTCTGGAAGAAGGTACCATTTTGAGGCAATGCATGATTAGGAGCCAGTGTGGCTCAAATAAGCATTTGTTACACTATGCCCGAGGGTAGTCGCTCCTCAGGGTTGGCCCAGCGTGGGAACGGGGGAGGCAAATGCAGCAGCCTTCCAGGAAGAAACTAAACACAGGGGCTTTCCTATGAGCATGTCATATTTGTCAGCGGCATGATCTTTCCTCTCTCACTGTCTTTCAACTGGAAGGACTCTGGATGCTTCTCTGATCGTATGTGTTTCAACTGGAGTTCACATGTTGAGCCTACCCAGGCCTGGGAAGTTTAAGGGAGACAGCTTGCGGTGATCACTGGGCAAATAAAAACCAGCAGTGGAGAAGCACTGGGAAGTTGGTGGTGCGTGGAGAAGCAAAGAGGCCATAGGTAGAGAAATCTAGTTATGCTCTGTGGAGGATATATGTGGGTGTACGTAGTGCTGGGTGGGAGGCTGTTGACTAGCCGTCGGATCTAATGCCAGACCTAGGGGTCTTGATGGGAATCCACAGAGGAAGGGAGCTCCTTAGGCAGCGGCAGCAGAGGGATAGAATTTGAGCTGGGTGTCGAAACCTAGAGAAACAGAAGGAAAAGGAAGCCATTGGCCCCTGAGTGTAAGCTGTGGGAGGTCTGAGCAGAGATCTCTGACTTCTGGTGTTTCTTCCCCCGGCAGAGTCCACATCAGTTTTCACACAGATCTGGGAAACCATCATATTTGCAGGTACCTAGGGGAGAGAGTGTGTTGTTGCTGTTAATGTATAATTTCCACAAATTACAAATATAATTCCCATAAAGATACAAAGTGAACATGTCAAAGTTTTATTTGACCCATCAATGGAGGAAACCAGTGAGATGGTAAACTGATTCAAAGAGTATTTGAGGAACTGGGTATTTATAGGCTTAAAAAACAAGGATAGATTAAGATTGCTAGGTCATACGTAAAACTGGGTAATGCCCTACAGGGTAATAAAACTGTAGTCTTTAAGGTTTTCCTGCCATTCAGAAATCTAGAAGGTAACATGTAACCTCACAGTGTCTGTGTTCTAATCAGATAGTAAATAGTCAAGTCAAACACAAGGATATTCTCCTAGAGAATGAGAGAATTGCTGGGAGGAATTGTTCAACAATGCTGCGGTATGACCGTGAGAAGACACTGTTCCCTCCTCTCCCCCTCTCCCCCCACCACTCCTGCCCAGCTGCCTGAGTTCCAGGTTGTGCATAGTTTGGTCATTAAAAAAAATAACTGGGAGTTGAAGATCTGAGATTGAATCCCAGTTCCTTCCCTTACCAGCTGTGTAGTATGGGTCAGGTAATTACCTATGATTTACCTGGATTTACTTGCTATGAATGGGGAGGAACAAGTGAGATAACTTTTGTAAAATTCCTGGCACGTGATAGGCGCTCGATCAATCTTAGTTCTTCTCTTTACCTTTCTTTTTTTTATATATATGTAAAATTTTATTTATTTATTATATATAGAGAGGGAGAGTGCCTGTGAGCAAGGGGAGGGGGCAAAGGAGAGGGAAGGGGGAAGAACCTCAAGCAGACTCCTCAATGAATGGGAGCCTGGGGCTGTGCTGGGTCCTGTGACCTTGAGATCACAACCTGAGCCAAAGCCAAGAGCCAGATGCTCAACGGAGCCACCTAGGTGCCCCACCTTTCCTCTTTTTAAATGGAAAACATTTTTCACCTTTTGGCTGGCCTTCATAGATGAAGTTCTCTCTCTCTCTCTCTCTCTCTCTCTGTCCCTCTCTTTCTCATCTCTAGTTTATTAGAATAATATCCTAGAACTCTGGTAGATTTTCTCCATTCCTTTTTTTTTTTTTTTTTTTTTAGATTTTATTTATTTATTTGAGACAGAGACAGAGAGAGAGAGCACAAGCAGGGGGTAGTTAGCAGAGGGAGAGGGAGAAGCAGACTCCCTGCCGAGCAGGAAGTTCGATGCAGGGCATGATCCCAGGACTCAGATCATGACCTGAGCCAAAGGCAGAGGCTTAACTGACTGAGCCACCGAGGTGCCCCTCAATTGGTCATTTTTAATAGTGGCCAGAGAAGCATCTTTTTACTCTTGGCTTAGGTTCTTTTGCTTCAGGACTAGCTCATTTCTCTTCTACTAGTTGGTTTATGAGCTTCTGCTTTTGCTGCAGGAGAGTGCGATTAAAATTGAATTGCCCTTGACTATACCTACCTCCCAATGTAGTAGATTAATGGGTCAGGGATCCTAAAGTCTGAACTTTTTTTTTTTTAATTAAAAAACATTTTTTAAGTTTTTTTTTTTTTTTAAGATTTTATTTATTTATTTGACACAGAAAGAGAGAGAATACAAGCAGGGGGAGTAGCAGGGAGAGGGAGAAGCAGGCTCCTACTGAGCGGAAAGCCTGACGTGGGGCTTGATTCCAGGACCCTGGGATCATGACCTGAGCTGAAGAGAGACACTTAACCGACTGAGCCACCCAGGAGTCCCTTGAAGTCTGAACTTCTGCCACTTTTTACCGTGTTGTTTCTTCTTAGTGTTTATACACTTTTTTTCTTTCCTGCCTAAATGTAGAGCTGGATGTAGTCTAAACATTGTTTAGTATCAATTGTCACACAAGGGAAAAGTTCTATAACCCTCTTTCCTCATTTCTGCATCATAGCTGGAAATGAGATGATGTAATCAGTGCCTTGATAGCCTGAGCTTAATTTACTCATTCATTAGGCAACATGTATTTATTGACCAACTACTCTGCCAAGCCTTGGTGATTTTTCTGTAGACGTAATAAGTAAGAATCTGCTCTGATGGAGACAGACTGTAACCGAGTAAGTAAACAAGATGATTACAGATTTTGATAAATTTTATAAATGAAATAAATCAGATGATGAGAAACTTTAAGCTGCTAGTCTTAGTAATTCTAATTGAGGTTATTAGAGACATTCTCTTTCTGAGTTGGAAATAGAAGGATGAGAATGAGTCAGCCACAGGAAGAGTTGAGCGGAGAGCATTCTAGGAAGGAGAGCATGATGAAGAGAGGTGTGGAATGAATTTGGCTTGTTCAAGGAACAGAAAGAGAGACTTGCACACGAAATGGGGTGAGCCAGGGTGCAGGTCGGTGGAGAGGTGGTCAGAGGGTGGTAGAGCCATCTAGGGCTCTGTAGATCATGGGAAGGAGTTCGGGTTTTTTTTAAGTGCAATGGAAAGCTCATAAAGAGGCCTACGACAGTGAAATGGCACCAGCTTATGAAAAGAAGAGAAAGAAAAGAATACAGCTGTGTGAAAACTCGGATGGAGGGTGTCAAGTTGCGTGGGAGTGGAGACACCAGTGAGTTCCTTGTGCTTGGGTATGGTGGTGGTGGCACAGATGTAGGGAGAACGATGCTTTGAAGATTGGACTAGGTAATGGAGAGTCCCAAATATCTGAATGAGAGTGTGCATTTGATTTTTGCAGCTATGAGGGAGCTTTGTGTGTAGGTAAGTTTGTGAGTGGATGTGTATTTGCAAGTGTGTGTGTGTGACTGTGAGTTTGAGTGGGTGTTAGTGTGTATCAGTGTGAGGTGTGTGTGTTTGTAAGTGCATATGAGTGTGTGTGCGTGTGTGTGTGTGTGTGCACACTTGAGTTTTTTCCTGCTGTAGCTTTTGAATGGGCAGGCCAGTGGCATGAAGGAAAGGGCTGCCTTTGTGGTAAAGATTAACTGGGACAAAGTTGGTGGCAGGAAGACTAGCCAGGATGTTAGTGGAGCTGGATGTGAAAGGAAGGCCTAGAGGATGCTAACTTGGCCATGGAGTAAGAGAAGACTAAATTGGGCAAATCCAGTTGTTGTTTTATTCTGTATCTGGATGAATGAGACCGAGAAGTGAAAAATAATTCCATTAAGGAAATCACACTCTTCAAATTAGCCCAGTGTGATTGCTAGTTTTATCTGTCTTAATTATTTAAAAAAAATTAAACCTCACTAAAATTCATTTGCTTGATTTCTCTGGAAGACAGCCCGTTAGTAAAAGTTGAGTGAATCTACCGCATCCCACCCAGATTGTCCCCTAACCCTCGTTCCTGCAGTTATGTACATACTCATTTTGTCTACATTTGGAGTTCTTAATTCTTGAGAAACTCATTGTATTTTTTGTTCCCCTCTAGGACATCTTTGAAGATGCAATGGAAACCATCTCTATGTAAGTAGTAACATAATAAAATATAATAAAGAAAAATTGATGGTTCTCTTATATAAAATGTGTAAATATTTCTTCCTTACTCTTTGAGAGTTGTGACTACTGCCAAAAAGAAATCAGTTCTGTAATTCAAGAGTTAGGATGTGATAATGCTTAAGAAAGAATCTATCTAACGTTACTAGCAAATATATTTTTGAGTATTATTTCTTGTAACCTTAATTCAACTAAAAAGAAGAAATGTTTTCCAACAAATTTAATTTTATTTGTTTATACCCAACCCTATGACATCTTGTTCATGTGTTTTTACACGAGTAAACTCATATTGTGGAATTTCACTTTTGGTGTGCACTTAATTTTATTACAAGCATATCCTGTAAGTCTGCATAGTTTTTGTACTGATTTTACATGATACCCTATTAGATCAAGTGGAACACCACAATTATCCATTTCTCCTTTGTTAGACATTTAGGTTGTTAACCAGTTTAAAAACTTAAAACTAAGTAATGAGTATTTTCATGTATATAGCTTTGTCATGTTTTTTAATTATCTCCAAAGATTAACTTCATGGATGTAGGATTACTGGATTAAAAGGGATGGAGATTTTTATTGCTCTTTATACAATATTTAAAAAAAAAAAAAAAGATTTATTTATTTATTTTAGAGAGAGCCCGAGTGGGAGGGGCAGAGGGAGAGGGAGAGAGAATCCAAAGCAGACCCTGTGCTGAGTGCAGAGCCTGATGGGGTTTCGATCCCACTTGTAGATGGCTGCCATCTCTTAGGTCTTCACATGACAGACAGACAGACAAACAGAGGCATCTTCATACAAAGGCACTAATCCCATCATGGGAGTCCCATTCTCAGGATGTCATCTAAACCTAATTTTCTCCCAAAGGCTTCATCTCCAAACACCATCACAGTGGAGGTTAGGGCCTCAACACATGAATTCTGGGGGACACAATTCAGTCTATAACACTTTCAAAAGAGTTTTATCAGTTTATGTGGTTACCAATACTGTGTAAGTGAAGTGGTTTAAAATGTAGAATCACAGGGCGCCCGGGTGGCTCAGTTGATTGAGCGTCTGACTCTTAGTTTCTACTCAGATCTTGATCTCAGGGCTGTGAGATCGAGTCCCACATCGGGCTCCACGCTCAACAAGGAGACTACTTGAGATTCTTTCCCTCCCCCTGCTCACACTTGCTTTCTTTCTCTTTCTCTCTCAATTAAGTAAACAAATCTTTAAAGAAAATAAAATTTAGCATCACCACTGGGTGCTATTTGAAACGGTTTTGCTACTCAAGTAATAACTAATTGCTTAAGTTTTTAAAATTTTTCTTTATTACCATTGTTTACCACATTGTAGTTCCTTTTATATAAGTTCTAGTCTTACATGCTTAACTTTTTCTCACTGTCTCTCTTACATACTTATGAACTTTAAAACTTTAATCTTTTGTTATATTTGCTTCAGGTATTTTCCCTAATTGCTATTTTTCTTTATGTTAGTTACAAATTTTTATGCTGTCCAAAAATTTTAATGTTTATATTGTTGAATGTTTGTTTATGTGAAAAAGAAAAAGTTGTGATTAGGACTAAAAAAAATAAGCTCTTTATTTTGGAACAGTTTTAGATTTATAAAATTATTGTGAAGATAGTACAGAGAGTATTTGGAAATGGACTTGAATTAGTCATAAATGGATATTGCAAATTCTAGGGCAACCACCAATATAACTGATATGTAAGAAGGAGAGAAAATGAAATTATATAAAATACTCAATTAAAATCACAGAAGGCAGAAGGCAGACCAAAATAGGAACAAAGAACAAGGGCAAAAAATAGAAAACAGTAATAAATATGGTAGATGCTAATCCAGCCATATTAATAATCACTTTGAGTATCAGTGGTCTATATGTATCAATTAAGACAGAGATTGTCAGCATGGGTCAAAAACATGATCCAACTACTTGTTGTCTATGAGAAACGCACTTTAAATATAAAGACACATACAGATTAAAAGTAAATGGGTGGAGAAAAATATACCATGCCAACTCTAATGAAAAGAAAGCAGGAGTAGCTATTAATTTCAGACAGAACAGAGTTCAAAGTAAGGAAAGTTATCAGAGATAAAGAAGGGTATTACATAATGATAGAAGGATCAATTCTCCAGGAAGACATGACAGTTCTAATGTGTATGAGTCTAACAACAGAACATCAGAGTACATGAGGCAAAAACTAATAGATGGCTCTGCTACCATAGTTGATGACTTCAACGCCCTTCTCAGAAATGGACAGATCCAGTTGGCAGAAATCAGTAAGGGCATAGTTGTACTAAAAACGAAAACTACCCAAACGAAACCCCTGAACTTAACATAACTGGATTTAATTTAGACCCCTATCTCCTGCCAACCCTAAAATTGCTAGCCTACTATTCCAACACCATTTGCTGTTTGTGAAAGAAAGAAGATTTATGTATGATGCTTCCTTTATCAAATAAATTCATTAAAATAATGGTGCTCTGTTTCTGGGCTTTCTGTTGTGTTCATTTCATCTGTGTGTCTGTGTCTGCGTAAAAATTGCTCTTTGTTCAACTGTTGTAGGTGTTTCAGTGTTAGTATGACTGGTTCTTAAAAGAACAGTGTCCCAACAATGACCCCTGTGATGGTGATGCTTTTGAACACTACTATCTAGCATTTTATTTTCCATTCATTGCCTCTTTCAGCCTCTCTTGGGCTGTCTATATCCACCAGCATTTTCTTTTCTTCCTTTAATTTTTACTTCCCTGTCCTGCTCAGGTTAGCAAACCCAAAGTTTTACCCGTTCTAGAATTTATCTTGCTCTTTTAGATTTCTGGTGTGCATTATTTCTCGTGTCCCTGAAAACAGTTTCTTAAAGAGTTTGTTTCCTTTTTAATGTTGCCAAAATGTCCTTGGGACATGTTCTTGTATGTAGCAACACATTATAGTAATATATCACCAGATATATCATGGTAATACATCGCCTAAGAGAGAACCTCACCTTTTTGAAATAGAGTCCAAAGCCAGAATGGGTGGCCAAAGTGGATATTAGAGTTCATGCTCTAAAAATCTTGCCCTTTACCTGTAGTGGTGGGCTCCATCCAGAGTCTGTTTACAATTAATTTTGACCTGACTCTAATAAACTTTGCTTTTTGACATAATTTTGCTAGAGTTCTGGAAGGTATGGTGAGGGGGTAGCTTTAGAGGTCAGTTTGCTGATGGTGATAAAAAATGACAGTAAAAGAAGAAAGAAAATGTGACATATGGTCACAGCACTCCAAAGCATAGCCTCAGGGTTTTACTTTGCTTAGGTGGACACAACCAGATACACCTTTCTAGAGAGACCAGCCCTCGGATTTGACAGGTTAACTTGCGATTCATTCCCGGTGTCCCCTTTACTGGCTGGGAGGCATGGGATTAATTTCTCGGAGTCTCAGTTTCCTCATCCTTGCATAGATTTATGGGAAGATAAAATGAAATTTAATTTAAATGTGGTAATGGAGTAAAGCACATAGTAGGTGCTCAGTAAATATTGGTACCTTCCTATTCTCCCCACCCCCCAACCCCGATTGCTGTTCAGTCTCCAATGAGAAAATCATGTTCATAATTCTGTCTCTGAGACGTTGGAAAAAGGTTAAATTATATCTAATATATTCCATTTAAGAAGGTAGAGACTTGGGGTGCCTGGGTGGCTCAGATGGTTAAGCGTCTGCCTTCGGCTCCCGTCATGATCCCAGGGTCCGGGGATCAAGCCCCTCATCGGGCTCCCTGCTTGGTGGGAAGCCTGCTTCTCCCTGCTTGTGTTCCCTCTCTCGCTGTGTCTCTCTCTGTCAAATAAATAAAAAAATCTTAAAAAAAAAAAAAAAAAAAGAAGGTAGAGACTTGTGTCATGTATATTAAGGAAATTTTAGAATGACCAGAAATGTTTTAAAATGACATTCTGAAAGTTAGTAGGATATATACTTCATTCACAGGAGACCTCACTTGGATGGTTCCTTTTATTTCCTCAACACAGAGTGTGGTATTTCTGTACTTAAGTCTCCTGTGTTACCCTTTTTGAAATTAAAAATACTGCAGAAGTAATCCATTATTCAGTCTTTTCCCTTTTACAAATTGTTTTCCCAGTGATTACAAATACATGTTAATTGTCAACAGTTCTTTAGTTATTTTTTTGTGTGAACTTTTAGTTTGTCCTTATTTCAGTTTGTCAATATTTTTCTCTTGTTTCCTCTTAAATTTGTGATGCTGTGACATTCCTTTCATGACTCATTAGCTGCTAAGCTCAGAAGAGCCTTTTTCCTCATGCTGATTGAACCACACATTTTGGTTTTATGTCTCTAGTGCCGGTAGTGATGCTTCAGCTTCTCTGTAGCAAGATATGGTCCCCATGCCAACCTGATGATTAATTTATTCCTGTGAATATTTTTGCCTGAATTTCTAATGAAAAGATGCAAGCTAACAGATGAGGGAGGCCTTAAATTGTGTCCACAAAAGAAAACTATTTCCTATTCTCTTTTTCTGCTTAATGGATTTACCACCGCAAACACAGATTTTCCTACTTCTGAATCTTTGTGGTAACCACTGTGTTATTTTAACTGACTGTTTTGGGACGTTGCTAGGTTTGCAAACTGCTAGATCATACAAACATCTCCGCCATTTAGAACTGAAGGGAAAAAAAGAGACTTTTTTTTTTTTTTAATGGTTAGTGGCACATTGAACGGGTCCTTCATAAAAATTAAAATTGTTTGGGAACTTTCTGACCTGCTCGGCATAAGGAGATCACCTCTATGGGAGGGACTCTAAATTAGACCCGTGTTAATGATCTATAGAAATTTGCCAGAGGATTAGCGGTGCTTTAGTGTCTCGCTTCCTGACTTAACAATTCCCTGCTGGCGTTACCTCTTGGTTCTCTGATGACCAGTATCCTTCTTTGCACAACTACCATCTCTGACAGTATAATGGTGGATATGAAGAGTCTGTTTATAAATTGACCGT